ATTGAATATAATTTTAAGAGGTTTATAAGTTCAAGGGACTAGCCAAGGCCTTTCAATGGGGAAAGGACAGTCTCTTCAACAAATGATGTTAGGAATACTAGATGTTCACAGACAAAAGAATGAAGTTGGACCCTTACCATACACCACATATAAAAATTAATTCAAAATGGATTAAAGACTTAAATGCAAGACCTAAACTAAAACTCCTAAAAGAAAATAGAGGGGGAAGAAAGCTTCAGAGACATTGGGTTTGGCAATTTCTTGCATTTGACACCAAAAGCACAGGCAACAAAAAAAATAAAACTGGACTACATCAATAATTAAAACTCCTGTCATCAAAGTACACAATCAAGAGTGAAAAGGCAACCCATGAAATGGGAGAAAAATTTGCAAATCACGTATCTGGTAAGGGGTTAATATCCAAAATACTTAAAAGAACTCCTACAATTCAATAACAAAAACCAAATAACTCAATTAAAAAATGAGCAAAAGACTTAAGCAGACATTTCTCCAAAGCCAATATACAAATGGCCAACCAGCGTATGAATGGATGCTCAATATAATTAGGCAAATGCAAATAAACCAGTGAGCTATCACCTCACACCTATTATGATGGCCAAAATCAGAAAAACAGAAAACAGCATTGACAAGGATCTAGAGAAACTGGAATTCTTGTTCACTGTTAGTGGGAATATAAAACACTGCAACCACTATGGAAAATAGGAATTTTTCAAAAATTTAAAAATAAAATTACATGATCCAGCAATTCCACTTCAGGGTATATATTCAAAAGAATTGAAAGCAGGATCTCAAAGAGACATTTGCACACCATGTTCATAGCAGCATTATTCATTCACAATAACCAAGAGGTGGAAGCAACCCAAGTGTCCATTATGGATGAATGGATATGCAAAATGTGGTATACGCATAGAATAGAATATTATTCAGCCTTAAAAAGGAATGAAATCCTGGCATAAGCTAACACAGGAATGAATGGTGAGGACATTTATGTTAAGTAAAATAAGCCAATCACAAAAACAAACACTGTATGATTCCACTTATGTGAGGTATCTCTAAAGTACTCAAATTCGTAGAGATAAAAAATAGAATGGTGGTTGCCAGGAGCTGGGGAGAGGAAAAAAAGGAGTTATGCTTAACAGGTTAAAGTTGCAGATATGAAAAAGTTCTGGAGACTGTGAATATGAATATACTTAATACTACCAAATTGTACACTTAAAAATGGCTAAGATGGGGGTCACCTGGCTGGGCTCAGTTGGAAGACCATGCAACTCTTAATCTCTCTGGGTTGTGAGTTTAAGCCCCACCTTGGGTGTAGAGATTACTTTAAAAAAATAATTAAAAAAAAAAAAACACAAAGGGTTAAGGTGGTCAATTTGATATTATGGATTCTTTAGCACCATTTAAAAATTAGAAAAAGTTCAGGGCCTTAAAAAATTTACAAAATACCATTTACCACTGTTTCCATTTAATACTCAGCACAGTAGTATGTCCAAGTATTATAATCTACTTTCTTCTGACAACATGTCTGTAGGTCAATAAATATAAAACTACTGTTAATACATTTGTTGATAACCTAAGGGAAACAAAAAACCCAAACAGGAATCAAGTTTTCAGTACTTTACCTACCAACATTAAAAGAAAGCCTGGGGGCGTCTGGGTGGCTCAGTTGGTTAAGCGACTGCCTTTGGCTCAGGTCATGATCCTGGAGTCCTGGGCTCCCTGCTCAGTGGGGAGTCTGCTTCTCCCTCTGACCCTCCCCCTTTTCATGTGCTCTCTCTCATTCTCTCTCTCTCAAATAAATAAAATCTTTAAGAAATAAAAGAAAAAAAATAAAGCCTGTATTTTGTACTGAGTACTAAATAGATACTGCTTGCATAAAAGGAACAAAGTAGCATTATTAAAGCTCTACCTGAATTTGCTAAATTCACAAACACTTCTTTATACTGAAGAATAAAGTTCGTTAAAATTATTCTCCCTAAGATTCATTCAACTTGATCTTGTCTTAAAAGCCACTATTTTTTAATGAGGTTAAAACTTGGCATTGAAAATCCTTAAAAAATTAAACACATATTGTATCTCCTTTTAGGAACTGCTCAAGGATTGTCTTCATCAAGGGCTCAGGGTAGTAGGTTAGGAACCGTTCTAAGTCCTTTCAATTCTTTTGAATATATACCCTGGAGTGGCTCTCAAAAGATCAGCATTATTCGAAACCCTGATGAACACATGTGAAAATTACATGGGTCACATTCTGCTGCAATGATACGCAATTTAATGAGGTGTTGCTATAATTTCTAAGGAAAAGATTGACTAGAAGCTACACAATTGTTCCATGATTGTAGAAATATCAGCAAATGGTATTGATTATCAAAATTAAATATCTAGAAGGATTTCTATATACAAGGGCAAGGAAGTTTTTACTGGGATGTCCAAAGTGCTTGAAGAAAACGTTCACCAAGAGTCATTTTTTCTCAGCTACTTTCACCTTACGGCCGTCCTGCAAATTCTGTTAGTATCCTAATTACTAATACCTCAAAGATGTTTTATTTTTAAGTATACTAACTAAATTAACACATGCAATATAGACATTAAAAATACTCCTGGGATTAGTTATGGAAAATCACGTATGTTTATGTACGTTCAAGGAGTAAGTGTGGGGGTATCTAAATAAATATATATGTACCCACATTTAGATATTTAAGAAAATTATTTGGAAACTTACATAAATGTTTTTAGATGCTCTATAAAAACAATATCCTCTGTCCCTTTCATCTAGCTCACCTTATCTCATTTCCTTTAGTAATAAGATTATAATACAAGTATTTAGTACTGTGGGCTCTACATATCCTTGCATAGAATGTGAAAGGGAAGTTACTATGTAAAAACACTGAGGTTACAGAATAAAGGTATTGCACAGAAAAGAGGCAAACACAAAGTACTCTTAGAAAGAAAACACATGAGCTATATTTAGTATTAAATATTTCAGACATCCAAAATTCTTGATAATCTGTCCTTTTTTGAATAAGAAACATTTAATATTTAAGTCAGCAAGATAAAGTCTTAAGAAAAATACCTGTGGGAAGAGGTTTTCTTCTAATTAAACACTTTACTCAATCATTTTCATTTGAAAATTGTGGCTTCCTCAATTATTTTAATGCTAGTGTCATTTTTATGTGCCAATTCAGGATATAAGCACTAGTATTACTCCATGCATCCTTAGTTATTCATCAAATAAACTGAGAAGCATTATCCCTCCCCCTTCTTGAATTAATAAAACCTAACATGCAAAAACAGCCTAATCCCCAGGCTCTTCTCTTGGTCAAAGTGATAACAGCACAGCAGGACCACCTTCAACCTCAAATATTCTGTAAGCTTTACAGACAAAAACTTAACTGGGAAAAGGAAAATACAGGTTTAAATTATAAATGTCCTCAGCCTCTCCATGAAAATCAGCTTTTCTAAGGAAGCATCCTAAGAAATATTTTTAATAGGTGGCAAGAGGTAAATGCCTTGCCCACTCATAAAATGTGATGCAGGGAAACAGGAAATTAATAGTTCTTCTATACACTGACAACCTGACAACCAAATAAGAATAACCAAATAATAGAAAGTTTCAAACTTGTCTTTGAACTCAAAAATACTTAGATCAAAACGTTAACCAATAAGCCTGTATAGCACTACATATAACAAAGAAATATAAAAGAAATCTATTTTATAGGAACAAACTGAAAAGTTCATGGCAAACCTACCTAAATTACAAATGTTGCAAAATAAAACAGAGAAGAAAAACAAAGATTTATGTGGTAAGAAAATATATATTTACTGAATTAAGCAATGGAGGTACACAATTCAGTCGAAATAGAACAAAGTGAATCTGAATTGCACGTACTTTAAATGCCATGGGATTTATATTCAACAACCTCCAAAAATGTTTAGGTGCTGAATAGTTAGCACTAAGTAAAACATAAACATTTCTAAAACAAGTGAACAATTCTGCTTCTTCCTGTATAATACAACCAAAAGTTGTAGTCACAGGAAGAATTTCCCTGAAATTTGTCAAACTCATGAAAACTGTGGCTCATGGAGCTTGGGAAAAGCACAAAATGTATTCCTAAATGTATCCTTATGGCAATAATGTTTCTGCACTCACTACAACCTAAACATTGAACTTGGGTTTAACATTCCTTTGTTATGTGTAACATTACACATTTATCAGTATCTTTTATTTTCCTGGCCAGCAATCTCAAAAGTTGTAATGGACTACCTTGCATTATTTCATAGTGAACCATAATGGAGTGGGGGCGGTGGGGGGACAGAGAGGATAAAGAGAATTCTTTTCCAAAAGTCTGGAGTCCAGAAATAATAACCACCTCTGGACCTGCGATTTAATTCAGAAATGAATTCAGAATTCTTTCTGCATAGATGCTTATTGTAGATGCTTCAACTGCTGAGAAATCTTAATGTACTCAGTTATTTGCACTCCAGTGAAAATCTTACCTTTTAGAATAGCTATAAAATATGGTTAAAATAAACCCTGATAAAACAAACAGAAAAATTTCTTCTGACGTTTTTAGTAATATAGAAATGACGACCACTAATCAACTAGTGTCTGTAAGTCACTGCAGTAGTTGCACAATTGCCTGTGGGTAGAGTATCACAGAAACTGAGTGTGGTGAAGCAGGATGTTTTCCCTTTTTAGAACCTGAGTGAACTTCAAGGGATTAACACCAAATTCATGTCAATTCTACAGCACAAAATTCAGACCCTTAATTCTGAATACAAATACATTTTAAAGAGAAAAAAAATGAGGGCTTTAAAACCATATTCGTAAGGTCAGTTTCACTTTTGTATTATGTGCATATACTGTACTTTAATCTGAAATGTTTCATACTTGTATTTCATGTTATATAGGTTTTGGACTTGACTGTGTTTTTCCACAGAAAGAAAAATCAACTGTTTTTCCACCTTAATATTCAACCTACCTGCCCATAGTTGTCTATGCCAGTTACTAATCTATTTAAATTTAATAAATCAAAAGCTGTCCTTAAGGATTGGCCAAGAGTCGTAAGTCCTTCAGCCTGAAGGTTTTTCAGTTCATTCATAAACGTTGCATGGTTTTCTTTCCATCCGGCCTGAAAAGAAAAACGTAAGAGTTTTTTTTTTCATCCTTTAAAGCCATGTACACACGGACACCCGTTTCAATCTGCCGTTCACCAAGGAGCTGCTTCACTTTACAGTATGGTTTGGTTAAGGTGTTAATACCGTAATATCACTGCCGAGGAAAACTCTTCAAAGGTGGCCAAGAAAAAAACCTGCTTGCTTACAGCTATTGGTGGCTAACAGCCTTAATACTTTCTAACTTCCCTGGGAAATTTACTTCCTAACCTACTACCCAAAATTTGGGCATGCAAAGGTACTAGTGGAAAACAGAAGTGAGCAGGACTTCTGAAGTTAACCTAGAGCTGGCCCACTGGCCCGTGGCCCTGGGAGGAAAAATCCGAGTACCTAGCCCCGCAGCCCCCACAGTCGGCTCGCTCGCCACCCCGGGGAGGAGCGGCGAGCCCCGGGCCGAGTCCCCTTTAATGCAAACCCGGGCTCGGCGCGGCCGGGCCCGGCTGTCACTCGGGCTAACTTGAATAAATATCCCCCACAGTTCATTGCTGCCGCTCACGCCGCGGAGGGGAAATGTCGGCCATGTTGATCGCAGCGCCGCCGCCGCCGCCGCCGCCGCCACCGCCGGGCCGGGCTGGGGAGGGGACGG